GTTTATACGATCATGTCTTTTATCTTTTAAACGTCCAGATTGATAAATCCTTAAACTGCTAGACTTGATTAGTTGTGACTGTGCAAAGTTCTGTATTATGTTCTACAATATGAACTTAACAAGAGGCTTCCTCTAGTTCTGTGTAAAATTATAGAGCGACACGAAGGTAAGCGCATTATTGTTGTTGTTTTTTTAATTGTCGGATTATAATTAAGTATTAATGAATGACACAGTTTTGAGTTGACTGTCATGGTGTGCGCATGAACGAGTGTGAAATACCTGCTAATTACGTTTCTTTTTCCTATCACTTATGTTGGGCACTTTTTGCATTTAAACTGGATTATTTTGACTGCTGACATTGAAAATCATGCATGTGTTGTTTCGAGGGTATCGGTTAATTTAATGATTGCCGTTTTGACACTGTCTGCTTGCATATTTTATTCATGTTCGGTAGCCTAATTCTCTTTAATGTAGGCTATTTGCCCCGATTTGATCCGTTTACCTGCAAAATTTATCTCATTTATAATTTATATTATTTTGTCGTCAATATTTTGTTTTAAGGAGTTAAAATGGTCCTTATCAACCTTGATTTACATATTCTATAACATTATTTTGACAGTTAAAGTTTTGGGCGGGTTTTTTTGGGAGCTTTTGGGCCGGAAATCGTCCATCCAATCTGGCAACACTGTCCCTAGCGCGCACAACAACACCACCACAAACCCAATGGGTGTGTTCAACTTGAAGCAGCGCTGCACAGACTGATCGGTGTATGACATCAAAGTATTGCGAGAGCGGTTCTAGAGCATATGCGAGCGCACACTCTTACCTTCAAAAATAGGCGAGGCTCATATATTTAGCGAAGCGGCGCAGAGAGAGAGGGGGCCTTGGCAATTTCAACCGACTGCCCGAGGCCAGCATAAAAAGACGGCCTGCCCGTCGTCACGAAAGCTTATCAATTGCAGGTGTTTTAAACATTCAAAACAGTTTAAAGCATTCAAACACAAGACGCGGAAAAACTCAACTGAGAGAGTTCGGTGCGCACACGGAGAGCCGCGCAAACACCAAACCGAGCTCTTCTTCGCTTCCTCCCGTGCCTGAACGAACAAATACACCTAGCCAGTTTAAACATACAAGCACAAAAAGACATGAAAAGCTTAATTCAGCACCCGCGCGCTGTTCTGTGCGTACAGTGTGCATGCAGAGAGCCGTGTCTACAGCCCTTAAACACCGAATTAAGTTTTGTCTCTTCTTGCTCTTGAAATGACAAATACATACAAAATAGTCACAATACCTGTCTTTGCGAGCATCCTCGAAAAAATGGTCGGTTATGTCTTAAGTGAAAGTAAACAGTTGAGTAAGAAATGGAATGTGTATCAGTATATTGGAGGTATTATCTCTTAAAGTGACCACGCCTAATTTACTAGCTGCTGTCAGTGTCCTTACAGGGGTCATATGATGCTGCTAAAAATAACATTATTTTTTGTATTTGGTGTAATGAAATGTTTATGCAGTTTAAGGTTAAAAAAACACATTATTTTCCACATACTGTACATTATTGTTTCTCCTCTATGCCCCGCCTTTCTGAAACGCGTCGATTTTTACAAAGCTCATGAAAAAGCGAGGTGTGCTCTGATTGGCCAGCTATCCAGTGCGTCCAGTGCACTGGTCCACGGTGAAAGCCGATCCGGCGATCCACAGCGCGAAGTTGAAGAATTTCCTCAGCGACCAGCACGGATCAGCTCCAGGCATGATGAAGCGATATCGTCCTCTTTTGGAAGGCCAAACAAAGTAGTTTCGCTTTCACAACGAATCACACAGTGCCTTCACGACATGGCGGCGGCGGCAACAATACTACAGCGAGAATAAAAGTTACGCCTTCTTTGCGTAAACATTTGGGCGGCGTTATGCAAGTCTTCCCAGATAGTGACGTAGGTATGTGGGGGCGTGTTAAAACGAGCCGTTTTAGGTAGGCGTGGCTGACTCTTAACTTTTATAAAGAATATGCCCGTCGTCACGAAAGCTTATCAATTGCAGGTGTTTTAAACATTCAAAACAGTTTAAAGCATTCAAACACAAGACGCGGAAAAACTCAACTGAGAGAGTTCGGTGCGCACACGGAGAGCCGCGCAAACACCAAACCGAGCTCTTCTTCGCTTCCTCCCGTGCCTGAACGAACAAATACACCTAGCCAGTTTAAACATACAAGCACAAAAAGACATGAAAAGCTTAATTCAGCACCCGCGCGCTGTTCTGTGCGTACAGTGTGCATGCAGAGAGCCGTGTCTACAGCCCTTAAACACCGAATTAAGTTTTGTCTCTTCTTGCTCTTGAAATGACAAATACATACAAAATAGTCACAATACCTGTCTTTGCGAGCATCCTCGAAAAAATGGTCGGTTATGTCTTAAGTGAAAGTAAACAGTTGAGTAAGAAATGGAATGTGTATCAGTATATTGGAGGTATTATCTCTTAGAGTGACCACGCCTAATTTACTAGCTGCTGTCAGTGTCCTTACAGGGGTCATATGATGCTGCTAAAAATAACATTATTTTTTGTATTTGGTGTAATGAAATGTTTATGCAGTTTAAGGTTAAAAAAACACATTATTTTCCACATACTGTACATTATTGTTTCTCCTCTATGCCCCGCCTTTCTGAAACGCGTCGATTTTTACAAAGCTCATGAAAAAGCGAGGTGTGCTCTGATTGGCCAGCTATCCAGTGCGTCCAGTGCACTGGTCCACGGTGAAAGCCGATCCGGCGATCCACAGCGCGAAGTTGAAGAATTTCCTCAGCGACCAGCACGGATCAGCTCCAGGCATGATGAAGCGATATCGTCCTCTTTTGGAAGGCCAAACAAAGTAGTTTCGCTTTCACAACGAATCACACAGTGCCTTCACGACATGGCGGCGGCGGCAACAATACTACAGCGAGAATAAAAGTTACGCCTTCTTTGCGTAAACATTTGGGCGGCGTTATGCAAGTCTTCCCAGATAGTGACGTAGGTATGTGGGGGCGTGTTAAAACGAGCCGTTTTAGGTAGGCGTGGCTGACTCTTAACTTTTATAAAGAATATCTCTTTGGATTTGAGACTTTAGTCTTTGCAACTTTACAGATCTTCTTTATGCGCCAAGAGCTTGTAACACTCCAAAGAGAAAGGAAAAATTGAAATCGCATCATATGACCCCTTTAATGTTAATCCAAGAAATTAAACGGGAGAAAATCACTCACTGCTCTTTACTGAATTACTTTGTAGTTTTAACAAAAATTTATCTATATTTAATTTATACAGTGAAGACTATGCAATGCTATTTACACTTGATTATTCAGTTTCTGTACCTGGACACCTACAAACTTGAAAAAAACTTAAACATTGTTTAATTTGTATATTTGTTTATTTGTGCTATTTACACAATTTCAAACAGGGCCCACTGGTACAAATTGCAACGGAGCCCCGCAAACCCCAGCTACGGCCCTGTACACCGATCGGTCTGCTTCAAGTCGAACACACAGCTGCTGCTGCCACCTTATGACAATAGATTTACACTTCAAATTAGGTAGTCTGTCATTGATGACAGTAGCTCATTGGAAAAGGATGGAAAATGCCCTTAATTTTGTTTGCACTAATAAATGCTGCTGCCTGCCAGCTGCAATCACCAATAAAACGTTGTTCCATGTTTTTTTTTTTTTGTCTATATCATCATAAATATTATGGCAAATATTCTTGAAATATCGTGATATAATTTTGAGGCTTTATCACCCACCCCTACAGTGCACACAATTCAATAGAGCTGCAAGCAATTTAAAAAAAAATTGTGAAACACTTAATTTCTGTCAAGAATCTCAAATATCATCTAATTTTCAGATAATTTGAAATACACAAACTGCGGGTAGTGATAAAGAAACAAAGAATGGAAAGAAATTGTATCTGTTGTAAACATTAAGAGTAAACTGCATCTAAACTTTATCTCCTCCCAGCTCCAGACATGCCGTCAAAACAAAGCAATTCTGTGATACCACTCTTACAGGGCTTGGCCCTCGCATCACGTGCTCAGGATGTTTGAAGCAGGGTGGAGGCCCTGTACTGGCAAACTGGTAACTGTCAGGAGGGTAAGCTTTGAACAAACAGAACTCTAATGAAGCATTAAAGAACATGGTAGCCAGTGGAATGACTTTCTTCTGGGCTCCACTGCAGGGGATTCATTACAGCAAAGGTCGTTTTGTCAGGGGCAACACATGAGCTGAATTCAAGGTCCTTTGTAATATATCTCACAGAATGTGCCTGTGTGTCACTCATCAGCGCTTATGTGTTCTCATGTCTCCAAGGAATGCAGCAACAATCTGTGCCCTGGTGAAACACCTCATTACTAAAGTGGTTACTAAAGCAAAATACACAAGCCAAAATAATATGCACAACACCTGCAACACAACAGGATTTTTGATTACAAGACCTCAAAAGTAAATGGATTAAATTCCAGAGACAAATTAATTGGAATGCTCTAGAGCTGTTGTTTCTGTACTCTATTACTCTATTAATCAGAGTCCTGAATGAACCCTTTGACATTTATTTTTCATCCCAGAAATACTTGCAGGACTTGCTGAACCTTTATAATTGCTGGACAATGTTTTCCGAGATTCTGGAAAGTTGCCGAGTATTTTTGATTATCTGCACCCCTGCTACTCTCAGTATCCAATGCAATGAAAATTAATTTGTTCCAGATTGCAGAGACTGTATGTAGCTACAGATTTTGCTGTTGTAAATACCTCAGATGTGTTGAAACTCAAGTAAATGTGTTAAATGAACTGCGATGCATCCAATTAAAACAACATAAATAGGTAGTCAACATATATAATGGCACAAAAGCAACAATCTCAGTGGCAAAAATCTTGTCTTCATTTTCACTGGTTGATCTCCAGTTCTCCAGTTTGCTGTTCTCCCCTGATAAGATGTTATCTCATGTACACATGTGGAAAATTAAACTAAATACGCACACACACACACACAGATTGACTTACACAGGCAGTAAATGTGAATAATGGAAACTTTCTGAGCTGGTAAACTGCAACCAAAACTCTGTACACAGGTCTGGAGAAATCATCATCGTCTTCATCACAAACAATCAGGCTTCACAGACTCTCCATATGGCTATGAGGTAAAGGCCACTCTGCTCAGCTGCAGTTGCATAATTTGACACCGGAGTCATTTTATAGTGCAGAAAGCTGTAGCACATATGGATGGGCAGTATGGAACACTGGCTGTGGTCCAGGGGAGGAAAGCCTTGATGAAAGGAAGACAGAGCAACGGTAAGGAGTATTTAAAACTAGGTCAGAATCAGTGAGCATGACTGCCTTTTGATGCGATGCTCACTCGTAATATCCTGGCTGGGTTTCAGACATACATTAGTGCTGTGTTTGGGTTGGGCAGGGTCAGCTGGATAGTGCACTTCAAGCCAGTCCAACAAAGGGCCTGTAAGTGTTACACAATCCTATATTCTTGAACCGCCCAAAAGAAGACTGACAAAACAAAAAAAACAGCTCAACATTCCACACAATACTCCGGACTAGTGCAGATGAGGCCACATTATGTTCTCGCTTTCTATTTCCTTTACAATGATGTATGCTTAGTCAAGAGTAATCATTAAGCACACTTATATGAACATTCAAGTTCTTAAAATGTCATGTAGTCTGTGAAATTGTACTAGTCTGATTTTTGCATTTTTTTTCTCTCCAACTGCTTCAGAGCAACCACTCTCTATTCATTATTCAGAACTGAAAGTTTAATTCAGTTCAAATGTATTTGAAATTGTCAAAGCACATTGAGTACCAAGTACATTGTTGGCAAGGACAAGATGACCAAGAGAAGAGTCCAACCTGGATCCATCTGATTCCATTTGTTAGAATTTATGGGGTGGACAATGTTGAAGACCCATCTGCAAGTTATCACCAGAAACAAGCAGCTGCATGAAGCTCATTCTGTGTTTTCTTCTATTGATATATACAGTATCCACTTGGCATTGATCCCTAACTCTGTTTTCCCAGAATGGTCAGATTCTTTGTAATTGTGTGTATTTTTGCCTTCTTTTATCCTTAAGTCCTCCTCCTACTTTTTCAGTCCAATTACATTTTCTTCCTTCCTCTTGTTCTTTTTGATACCAATCCTTGATAACATACACATGACCCTCCCCCAATCCACACCCAGTCTCAAGTCCCAGCTGCTATAGCCAGGGTGCCTCTTTAATTCCAACTGTCCACAGCAAACAGTCAGATGGATGGATAGATAGATGTACAAAGGGGAGGATGGCCCAGTAGGACTACAAGTCACAACCACGAATACACACTCAACGCACACACCTCCTACTGTCAGACCACCCCACCACTTTGAGGCTCAGTCCACCATCTGGCCAGACTGAGACTGTGGACATGTTGTTGGTTATGGCTGGCTGGCCCAGTGGGGGAGGAGACCCAATTAAGAAACTAATCTGTATGCAAAATATATGAGCCCCCCACCCCACAGTTTTTTTCCCAATGTGTTTTTATCTGGTACTCCCTGGATTGCTAAACACAGCAGTGAAATACAACTCCTCTCAGTGTATAGCGGACATCACACAGTCCTTCATTTCCTCAGATACAGGCACTTTCCATCAGATAAATGTTTCAGCCAGACTCAGCCAGCTTGATTTTCATCAGACCTCAGGGAGGAAGTCCGCCCCCGGAGATCCAACAGCATGTATTTGTGCAGAGTGCTGATTTAGGATCAGATTTTCACATTGTTTACTGGGGTTTAAGCCAAGGAGTGCTAAGGAGCAGCTCTGATCCAGAGACACCATTCCTGATATGTGATCTTGTACGTATATGGGTTCTGGTCTCTCACAACAGACCAAAAAAGTCAACCTAGGGTTGATAAATAATCCCAACAAAAGAAAGAAAATGAGACAATACACAATATAAAAGGAAAGAGCACTGCTGTCATAGCCATTGAGATATGGAAGCTCATTTATTTTATCTGTTAAATTACAATTCTGTTTAGAGGAGTCACATAAATATTTGTGTCCATAATGTTAATTCTGACCCTAAGTGGACACACAGATCAGGACTATTACCATCATAAACATAGCGGGGGACAGTAGCTACGTTTACATGCAACCAAATAATCTATTAATAATCAGACTAATGACTTACTCTGACTAAAAAGCAGTCATTTAAATACCTAAATAGGAGTTAAGTAAGCATGTTAACGCTTGAATCTGACTATTTTCTCCAAAGGATTCAAAAATACCTAGTTCCATGATGTGCATGTTTACTTATGTTTTACTTCTTAAAACTAGTCAGTGGAGTAGAATGTTTACTAAATATTTGTTAAAAAGGTCTTCTGACATACTGTATGTCATCGTTCTTCTAAAATATGGCAAAAATGACAATTATACTCACAGTAGCACTGGTGACATTATTACGGTGGACTTCTCCGTTTCTGTACACAGTGACTGGGGATTGGGCACTATACATATGCTGATGTTTTGTTCAGAATACATGTAATGGACATGTCTTTGCAAAGATTGCAAAGTTTAGGGTTTATATAAACTGAACATTCAGAATCTGAAATAGTATTGGATTCATTGGACTGACAAAAATAGTGCATGTAAACATACCAAATGACTGCCACAAATGAAAGGTACTGAGAGTTTGCAAGGCCAAAGAGAAGGTGACAGGATGTGTGTGAAAGGGAAGGGAGGAGAAAGATGGAAAGCATAAGAATGTGGAAGACCTTCACTTCACCTGGCAGACACAAATTACCAAACCTCGCCCCTACTGTCAGGGAGCGGGCCAATGAGCTTTAAACATCCAGCAGTCCCTCAAATATTAACACTGATCTGTGTCATCTATGTTGAACTTTAACACTAATAAAAACATGGATTGATGGAAAATTCATGGTTCTGTTCTGATAGTCTAGTTGTAGATATAATATTTTTTACTCTGTAGCACTGATTACAAAAGCAACCATTTAAAATCTCTATGGGCAAAGACCACTGTTGCGTTTTTTAATGATTAGTTCATCTATTATCTTTTTTATATTATGTTTGTGTCTTTTTTTGTTGTGTTTTGTGTGTGATTTTATGTTGTTTCATGTAATGTAGCATGTAAAGACAGCATATCATTCCAGTCTATTAGTTCTGTATTTTGTAAACTTGGTAAAATTATACTCATCATTCTCTGTGAAGATCGCATAGGAGGTGGAGGCTTTGTGTGCAGCCAATGGCAGTACTGGAAAGGACCATTGAGGAGAAAGGGATGATGGAAATAGCATTCCAAAGAAACATCTGCAAAGCTTCAAGTGCAAAAGTGCTGAATGACAGCAACAACAAACAATTAACATACACTGAAAGAAAAGAGTGAGGGAGGATAGGGAAGATGACAAGGCTGAGTGTTGATAAAATCGCACACTCACAATAACATATTCACTCATATAAAATATCCACCAAAATGGAAGCTAAGGCAGCACAATATGGAGAAAAATGTGAATCACTACAAACTTAAAAAATAATGTGATGCCGATATGTAATGTGTTAAATCTAAGATTGTGCTAAATCTAAGATGTGATAAATCAGAATACATTTTCAAGTAGTTTTCGAGCCCGAAGAATAGTGGCACATCTAGTGAAGTGAAAGTGACTGCATTTAATCCATCCAAGTGCACACACACAGCAATGAGTAGTGAACACACACACACACACACACACAGACACACACACACACACTTACACACACATGCACACACACCTAAGGCAGCACAATATGGAGAAAAATGTGAATCACTACAAACTTAAAAAATAATGTGATGCCGATATGTAATGTGTTAAATCTAAGATTGTGCTAAATCTAAGATGTGATAAATCAGAATACATTTTCAAGTAGTTTTCGAGCCCGAAGAATAGTGGCACATCTAGTGAAGTGAAAGTGACTGCATTTAATCCATCCAAGTGCACACACACAGCAATGAGTAGTGAACACACACACACACACACCTGGAGCAATGGGCAGCCATCTTTGCTGTGGCCCCGGGGAGCAGTTTGGTGCCTTGCTCAAGGGTCTCATCTCATCTCGCAGGTATTGAAGGTGAAAAAGAGTGCTGGTCATTCACTCCCCACACCTACAATCCCTGCCGGTACTGAGAGTCAAACCTGTAACCTTTGGGTTACAAGTCCGACTCTCTAACCATTAAAGGGGTCATATGATGCTATTTTAAAGATCATTATTTCGTGTAAATAAAGAAAGATTTCGCACTGAAACACAGCGTCTCCCTGACATGGCTGCATCAACACGACTGCTGTTCCTGAAACCACGCCTTCTTTCTTTGCATGCACATTTGGGTGGCATTATGCTAATAGTTCCACATAGGGACGTAGATATGTGGGGGGCGTGTTACAACGATGTGTTTTAGGTAGGTGTGGTTGACTCTTAACTTTTATAAAGAATATCTCTTTGGATTTGAGACTTTAGTCTTTGCAACTTTACAGATCTTCTTTATGCACCAAGAGCTTGTAACACTCCAAAGAGAAAGGAAAACTTCAAATAGCATCATATGACCCCTTCAAGCCATGACTGCCTCATCTAACATGTATATATCCAATTCTCCGCATCTCTGAAGCCTTTATGTATAATGTTTTAAAATGTCATAACCATTTACTCACTTGGCTTTCAAATCCAATCCTGCTGTTAGCTAGACAAAGTATGAGGGTATTTATCATCTAAAGCAGCAAATGCCTGGGTGGTTTGATCCATAAAAGAAAACCATGATCTTACAACTCACAGCTCTGACAGAGTTCTGCTATGTATACTTTGCAAGATTTACTGAGGACTAATAGTAGTAGCTGGTTACACTAATTATAAATGCAGGGCACTTACACAAACATACACATTCAAACACTGGCAATGGTCCTCTACAGAATTTAATCTAGATCAAATGAACCACCTGTTTCAACACAAGATAAAGCATCACAACACTGAAGATTGCTGTCTTTGGAACAGGTACGATTTCATCTACAGAAGTGGCATGTGCAGGTGACACTATTATAGTGAAAGCAGCTTGGCTGTACTAGGACATGCTCTGAGGACCAACCAGGGGCCAGATTCATGAAACATTCTTAAAAATAAATTTCCTGAATGTTTTATTACTTAAGAAAACCACTTTCCCACCAACCAAAGCAAACCAAACATTGACACCAAACAGACTAAAAGCAGATGAAAAAGCGGTAGTGTGAAAGCACGCTAAGCTTGAAGTTTCAGTATAGCCTCTGGGCTTTGTGTGGGTGTGTCAAGGGTGAAATACAGGGAAAGAAAGCAAGTATTCCCATAAATCATAACAACTTGACATTAACCTAAATGTACAATTTATTTAAAAGGACAGGTCTAAAGGCCTCAGAACACATCTCTGTGTGCTTAAAAAAAGTTTGTAACGAGGAGCACTTAAATTTTCCAGAATGCAACCAGAACTTGAACATCACATTTAGCGCGCATAGCACTGAATACCTGGTTATTTTACTAACAGATCTATACATGCACATAAGCACATCCATTTACTACAGAAAAGCCTGAAACCACTATTCCAAAAACATGTGAAAACGAGTCTTGGCTAAAATCCAAACTAAGCATTTTACCCAAATACCCAAAGGGCAGGTTGCCTTCATCGTCACCTTAAAAAAATCATACTCCCCTACTAAAAATAAACTGGAATTGATGGAAAGTGGGTTACAATAACATGAAAAGGTGGGAAAGCATAAAAAAATAGGTGTGTGAGTTTGTTTGTGCACACACACAAACTCACACACACACACACACGCAAGCACACTGCCTGAGCATTGAAATATATGCACTCCCTTTGAGAATTAGAACCCAAAGACTGTGAGAGTGCTTTTTAATTCCTGTCTCTATTTATCTGGCAAATCAAAATGAATGCAGGAAATAGGTAACGACAGGCACAAAATGCTATGCCGAGTGGCAGAGAGAAGAGAATTTACTGTAGAAAGATGAGAGAGCTGCCTCAAGGCCTAAATACCACAAATACACCTGCAAGATCAATAACCCAAAAACACAGATGGCGCTTGTTTTCAGAACAGAAAGAATTTGGCGAAAGGCAGAAAGAAAGTTTATGTACGTCAGCTGTTTTGTATGTAAGATAGTAGAGATACAGATTCAACAGGAATATGCTTACCACAAGATCTGTTTGAACTAGTATTATTTATATACTATTATAGTATTTATTCATATTTTGAATTAGCTTTTTTCTTTTTATTGTTTTCTCTTTTTTTCCATTTAGTAATTTTGCTTTATTTTAAATTTTATACAGTTTTAGTTTTAGTAGTACTTCAAATTAAACTTGCATCAGTTCATTGCCAAGGCAACATTTCTAGGTTTAAGTTTTTCAAGATTTAGCCTATTTCAGTTAACAAAATAATAGTTTTTGTTAACAATTAACAACACTGGTTGGAAGACATCATGTGCTATACAGACTCAGATGAAGTTTGTTTAATCACCTCCTACAAAAGCTAAACCAACAAACACCATCATGAAGATCCCTAGGTGACTCTTCATTTCTGTGAAAAAGCTTGTGTGTGTTCTTGTGTCTGCGTCCTCTTATATCCACTTTCACTATAGAGAGATCTTTGCACATTACTGTTTCAGAAACTTTTACATATATGCCTGCAGATTTTCTTTTTGATTATTGATGCATTTTTGAGGAAATTGTAAGGTATGGGTCAGTCAAACAGAAAATCTCGGGAATCTATGAAAACAAATAACACATCACTATAGGTTATTCTTAAAAGCCTAAATTAGCTCAGCTCCTAAAAGCTACAAACAATTACAGCACACTGTGCATTAATTATTCATGCTAAGAGTTCTAGCATCTGTTAGCTATAAAACAAGTCTTTACAGAAAGACTGTTACCTTGGCTGCGACAACACACCCTAAACACAAAACGCTTAAGCAGAGTTTCCACCCGGCGAATAACACCAACCACATCAGTCTAATCAGATCCCTCTCCGCCTGTGATGTGTGGTCAGGAGTGTTAAGAACCACAGCAGCTTTCATCTTCTGTATCTCTGCCACAATTTCCACACTTTCCTCACCCATTTCCATTTTCCCTTTCTCACTTTCCATTTCATACACAAATAATGAAACATAGGGGAAACAAATAATGACAGAGATGGAAATGACAGTAAACCTCAACTTATTTCAATTGATTCAGAGAATATTCAGCTGGAAAGCTAGAGAAAGAGGTAACTAAAGATTACTAAAGCTTTCTAAAGAACATGAGGCATCAGGTTTCTCAGACAGTGACTCAGAGGTTTTGAGTTCAGCTTGGTTTACAGCACAGACACTCTCTGAGTCTATACACACACACATAAACACATACACTCAAATGGCAATTTGAAGTACAAGCACCTTCTCTGTGAACACAAACACACTTGAGTGTGCTGAGTTCAACAGAAAGAAAAAGAGCAAAGTTACATCGTCCCTCTGGCTATGGCTCGATGTGAAACCCTAATGGGACAACCTCCAAAGCTAAAGAAGAGCCAAAAGGCATGCAACACAACTTTTTCATGTTTTACTTTCAAGATCTGCCACTCCAGTCCAGTCATGTTACAGAGCCGCGGGCAGTATGGGTAACTGACAGCTCTGGAGAGACGTCTCGCACAGCCGTTTGTGTAAATATACAGTGTTACTTGT